TGCCACTTCCGGCTTTTTTCTTTTTGCTTATGTGGTGCTGAGGAATCGAACCCAGGGCCTCAGGCATGCAAGGCAAGTGCTCTACCACTGAGCCACCTCCCCAGCCCCCAGGAGAGTCTTATCTCTAGTTAACCAACAAAAAGCCAAAAGTGGAGTTGTGATTCAAGTGGTAAAATGCCAGCCATAAATGGTCTGAGTTCAAGCCCCTATACCAGCATGCACACACACACACAGAGAGATTTAAAAAAAATATCCACTCAGCTTTCTCCCTATATCATCACTCTTAATTTTGGCCTTGGGTAAATTCTTGGAGTATGGATGCAATGTGGTGACTCCTTTCTAGTGGTGTAATAGAGGAAGTCTTTATTTCCAGTCTTTATTTCCAGTTTCCATTTCCACCTGAGATTTCCTTTCACTATTCACTATTCACTATTCACATTGTTATTAACATTCTAGTCATGACCACTTCTCCAATCTCTACAAAGTTCTAGCTCCTTCTAGTCTCTTGGTCTATCATGTTCCATTCTAGAATTTTCCTAGACTGTTCTTCCAAACCTTTCCAATTTCTAGCCATTTATCTAGTTCCAAAGCCACTTCCAACCTTTGTATGGTGGTCTATGACTGTAATGACAGCCCTTGGAAGGCTGAGACTGGAGGATCATGAAGGAGAGGTCAGCCTGAGCTACATAATAAGACAACGTCTCAAAAAAATAGAAAAGAAAAAGGTCCAGTCCCACATCACATTTCAGATAGTATAGCAATAACTCTACCCTTGATGCCAATTTTCTCTCTCAGTCTTCTTTGTGTTGCTGTAATAAAATATTTCTGGGTAATGTATAAAGAAAATAGGCTTGTTTAGCTCTCACAGTTTTGGAGTCTGAAATTCTATGATCTGTGGCTCTCACTGGTCTGCTCTTGGAAGGGCTTCAAAGTTCAGCTCTCTCCTTCCTGCTCTTAGCAGGCTCTTTTTTCATACCTCCAGCATGAGATGAGGGAGAATTAGAAATTTTCAAGTCTATTCCAAGAGTCCTCCTTGTGCCTCCCATCATTTGGCTGGGTAGGTTGAAAGGACTCTTCCAGGGTGAATGTGGGTAGCAAGGGGCAACAGGAGCCACAATGTGAGCGGCAACCGATGGGGCACACCCAACTCTCCTGTACATCTCTCTACCCACAGGCCAGGATTCAGCCAGCCCCATCAGAACCACACACACCGGGCAGGTGCGGGGCAGCCTCGTCCATGTGAAGGACATCCGTGTCGGAGCCCACACCTTCCTGGGCATTCCCTTTGCCAAGCCACCTGTAGGACCACTGAGGTTTGCCCCTCCAGAGCCCCCTGAACCATGGAGTGGTGTGAGGGATGCCACCTCCCACCCAGCCATGTAAGTTCTCCCAGGGAGCGCAAGGTACTTTCATGCCTGGGGTAGGACAGAAGCTCTGAGTTATGGGTCAAGCTTAGTAATTCATCCATCTGAACATCACAGCCAGTTTCCCTTTACGTTGTGGGGATTTTCTGTGCATTTTTCAATAATGGTGTTGAAGCTCAGATCGTGCTGAAACTTTGCCCGCTCCAGGCTCAGGTCTTGGCACGTGGACTGTGCTAGTAACCAGGCACTAAAAAGAGTAACAGACACACCTGAGTTGGGTTGTGCCACATATTCTCTGCCACCAGAGGAGGTATACTTGGAGAGGTGTAGGCTGGCTCTAGGAGCCTGTTGAGAGTCCCTGACTCCAGCAGCCGAGGCTGCACATCCCTGAAGAGGGGATGAAAATTTAAAAAATCAAGCTCCATAGTCACTGTGCCAACCCACTGGACCCGAAAACACATTTGTGTCCTTCCAACTAGAAAAGATTCAGCACCTGGTCATGAGAGTCTGAACATGGTCAACTCATGCCCCAGCCTATGAGAAACCAACCTTCATTCATTCATGCTATGCCTGTGTGGTGGCAGCTCTCCTGTTCCAGGCCTAAATGGGTACTGGAAAAAGTGGTGAATGTCAATATCCGCAACTGAGGTTTCCCACAGGGACTCCCAGGAGTCATGATTTCCCAACTTCGGAAATCTAGAATCCAAGATTAGTAACCTTGTAGCCTCCCTGAAAATCAGAGTTCTACCCTGGCTTCCCAGATACTATGACCTGCAGCTGGCTAGGAAGTAACTTTAGAGAAGGGTCCTATGTGAGCAGGGTATCAGGAAATGATGGCAAATCCACAGCAAGGGTCTAGTTCAGTCCAGGGCTGGCTACTGGCTGACTGTCTGTTATAACTGTTCACCAGCTGTCTGCAGGACATTGCTGCAATGAAGACACAGGCTCTGAAACTGTTGAATCTGACCCTGCCTCCCATCCCCATATCTGAGGACTGCCTATACCTCAACATCTACTCGCCCGCCCATGCACATGAGGGCTCTAACCTGCCGGTGAGTATCAGACCATGGTCAGCCGGGGTAGTCAGATGCCACTGACTCCAGCCATTGAGACTGGGAAACAGTTTTTAAATCAATGTTACGTGAGACAATCTGTGCCATTTGTTTCCTCACAGAAAGTTCTAGGGGAAATGGTATCAAGCTCTGACATTAGGGTGCACTCCTAAATACTGTTCTTCAGTCAGCTGGGCCCTCTGATCATAGCCAAGGCAACAAGTCAGCTTGGGGTTCTACCTATGTAGGGAGGTAAACACAGCCAAAATGGTGTCAAATCTAAGGAGCCACCCAAGGAGGGACTCGGGCCATGCGGAAACCATATGACATCTGCCTTGATTTCCCCAGGTGATGGTGTGGATCCATGGTGGTGCACTGGTTATAGGCATGGCTTCCTTGTATGATGGATCAGTGTTTACAGCCTTTGAGGATGTGGTGTTGGTCACTATCCAGTACCGCCTGGGAGTCCCAGGCTTCTTCAGGTGAGCCTGATCATCGAGTTGAGCAATGGAGGCTTAGCAGAGCCAGGACAGTCCTATAATAAATTCTCTCTGCCACTTCTCAGCACTGGAGACCAGCATGCCACTGGCAACTGGGGTTTTCTGGACCAGGTGGCCGCCCTACGCTGGGTCCAACAGAATATCGCCCACTTTGGAGGCAACCCCGACCGTGTCACCATTTTTGGTGAATCTGCAGGTGGCACAAGTGTGTCCTTGCATGTCATGTCCCCCATGTCCCAAGGACTTTTTCATGGTGCCATCATGGAGAGCGGGATGGCCCTGGTGCCCACCCTCATCTCCAGTTCCATTGAGGCAGTTGTCACAGTAAGTTCCCACAACACCACCAGTCCAGATGCACTGGATCCCCCTCCCCTTGCTCTCAGAGCCTTTGGTTCTCTGTCTCTTTAGTAGGAATAGCAAGGACCATGGAGGTGCTTTTGGAACTACTGAGAGTTCCACACCCCTCTGCCGCTCAGACGCTCTATGTGTTCAATGGTCAGCAAATGCTGTTCCCAGGGGGCCTCACAGTTCAGATAATCATGTAATCAGGGGAGATGGCTCTACTGGCTGAGGCCTTTGAGGATCAGGAAAATTGGAACCATTTCACATCTGTAGCAATCAACGATTTGTATCCTGAGAGCTTTGGGGGGCACCTGTACCCATCTGGATGAGGCAGTCCCTACCTGATTGCTTTCCAGATGGTGGCCAACTTGTCTGCCTGTGGACAAGTAGACTCAGAGGCCCTGGTGGGCTGCCTGCGGGTCAAGAGTGAAGAAGAAATGCTGGCTATTACCAAGGTCAGGTTGAATTGTGTGGGCATGGAAGAAGAGAAGTGAAAAAGTGTGGGGCAAGAAACCCTGAGTGCCCTTCAAACTCCATTAGTTTACTGATATCTTTGAGTCCACAGGTTGGGAATAGAAACTGATTTGCTAAAGCCATGTCTATATGAGTGGGGGTGAGAATCTTAGGATGAAACTTTCACACAGGAATATAAGGTATGAAACTTATCCATGGTCAGAAGTGACCTAATCTTCCTCTTGGACACTGAATGTTCCTTTAGGCCTTCAATATCATACCTGGCATAGTCGATGGGATCTTTCTGCCCAGGCATCCTGAGGAGCTGTTGGCATCTGCTGACTTCCAATATGTCCCCAGCATCATTGGTGTCAACAATGATGAGTATGGCTGGATCATCCCCTCGGTGAGGCTCAGATCCAAGCCCCTTGGTGTCTGGGATATCTCTTATACAACTATAGGCCAAAATCAGAACCACAACACAAACTTCCTCCTATAATTCAGAGCATGGTAAACTATGGCACTCAGAAGATAGACAGAGACATGGTGCGAGCTATCCTGCAGAGAAGGTCAAAGCAGCTGGTGAGAATCTTAGAGGTCATCCCAGATACGTTGCCCAAGAACTGACCCCGCCTCAAAAAAGTCTAAACTGTGCTACATTTGTGGGTGGGGTTACCCCAAAGCTTGGCTCTTTCCCTCTCTACCTTGTCCTATCCCCAGACTCCATCACCCTATCCTGAGGCTGCTGCCCAGAAGCTGCCTAATGTGAATCATTCTCATTCACTGGACTAGATGTTGCCTCTTGAGTTTGGTGACCTGCTGATAGAAGAGTACATGGGGAACACTCAAGACCCCGAGACCATCCAAGCCCAGTTCCAAGAGATGATGGGAGACTTCATAATCGTGATGCCTGCACTGCAAGTAGCGCATTTTCAACGTGAGTAGACTGTAACTGAAGCCTCACAGCCCAGCAGGCAGCTCAGAGCTGTGCATCTGAGGTGAGCTTTGTCGTGTTAAGTTCCCCCACTGTGGCTTTCTCAAGGGCCCAGTGCCAGGCACTTAATGTCTCACAGGTCAGAAATCCTTATTACTACTCTAAGGGACAGATATCACTTCCGTTAGATGGAAGAGGAACTGAATTAGTGACACTCAGTGACTACTCCAGGATAACACAGAAAGGACAATCCAAATCCAAGGTCATAAGTTAGCCAAGGATCTTCCCACTGGCCCTTCTCCAGCGTGGGGTACCCCAACTCCACCACCCATGTTCTAGCCAGCTTTGGGCCTATATATCTAGTCATCAAGAATGGGGAAGGAGCCGGGCGCTGGTGGCTCACGCCTGTAATCCTAGCTACTCAGGAGGCTGAGATCTGAGGATCGCGGTTCAAAGCCAGCCCGGGCAGG